TAGATCATATTGTATATGATCTGAGTATCAAACGGTATACTGTAGTACTTTGAACTGTCTACTGTATACTGTAATAAATTGATAATTCTATACCTGGATTATTAAGGTCGTACAACGGAAGCACTTTTAGCATTATTCACTGTTGACATTTTATAAATTAACACCAATATTCAGATGTCGATAGCTCGTTCAATTATTATCACATAAATGTAAATGAAATGTCAAAATTCATTAAAAATTAAACTGTGCAGGAATCATATTTCAAAAATATAGGTTCCCGTTTGAATTATAAAAGTTGACCCTCAAACCTTCCCATCCTAATTAATAAAAAAAATATTTAATATCAAATTAATTTAGATTATATGATTTAAAACAGTTTTCACATGGGTCATTAACCCCTAATTTAAATATATCATGCTGAAATCTGCTGTCACATGAAATTTGGAACACCCTGTATACTGGAATGAGATCTGACGATATCATAGTAAACTTAAAATCTATAGTTGATGGCTTATTAACTTCAAATGAAGAAATTGATATTACAGAAACTACTTTTCAAGTTCAAATATTAAACATACCCAGAGGTTCAAAGGGAAATAAAATAATGAATTTATCAGAAGATATCCATACTAAAAGAAGTATTATTAAGATTAATAATGATGATAATTTATGTTGTCCAAGAGCTACTGTCGTTGCATTATTTACTCAAACAAATAATATTTTAGATCATGAATTAGATTCAATAAAATTAAACAATTGAAGATGGGTAGAAAAATTCAAAAAGATTTAGCTTTAAAATTATGTAATATGTTAAAAGAATATAATGAAGAAGGATTTACATTGGATGATATTCAAAATGTGGAAAAAATACTAGATATACAAATAAATATTATTTGTGCTGAAAGTTTAAATGCTTTAATTTATAAAGGTGATGAAAAAGAAACTAAAATTTATTTGTATAAAAACGGTAACCATTTTGATGTTATTACATCAATGGCAAGTTTTTATGGTTCTTGAAGCTCAACAAGAAACAGGAACTCATATCGCAAATAAAATAATTGCTCATGATTTTGAAGGAAATAAAATTATGATTGATAGGTACTAATGAAGAATTTTGTAATCATGTAATATCCGAGGATTATAAGGGTTATACATTTATAGCACATTACGCAAAATGATTCACAATTTATCTTAAAATACTTGGTTGATAATACTATAAAGCCATTTACAATTTATAATGGTACAAAACTAATGTTATTAGAAATTAAAAATTTAAGTATAAGAACAATAGATAGTTCTAATTTTATTCATGGTCAACTAAGTAGTTTTCCCAAAACTTTGGTCTTAAAGAACTGAAAAAAGGTTACTTTCCGCATTTCTTTAATACAGTAGAAAATCAAAATTATATTGGTATATTACCTGATAAAAAATATTATGGATTTGAAACAATGAAACCAGAGAATAAACTAGAATTTGAAAAATGGTATGATGATAAAATTAATGAAAATTATATATTTAATTTAAAAGGAGAATTAGAGGCATACTGTACTTCAGATGTGGATATCGAACGAAGAGGTTGTTTAGAACTTAGAAAGCAATTTTTAGAAATAGCTAATATTGATCCTTTTCGCTATACAACTATAGCAGGTGTTTGTATGGCTATCTATAGATCAAAATATTTGTTATACGATACTATAGCTGTTTTAGATAAAGTGAAAAATGAAAATTATTCAAAGCACTTTATAACATGGTTAAAGCATTTTAATAACATAAATATCTACCACGCTTTAAATGGTGGTGAAAAAATAATAGCAGGATCTAAAGTTAATGGTTATGATGAAAAATCAAAAACAGTTTATCAATATCATGGATGTTTTTGGCTAATGTTGTACTAAATGTTATAGAGATAGAGAAACTATAATAAATAACATAAACCATGAAACAATGGATGATTTGTATCAAAAAACAATTGAAAGAAGTAAAATAATAAAAAATGCAGGTTATAATCTTATTGAACAATGGGAATGTGATTGGATAAATAGTAATATATACAAAAAAATGGAAAAAGCTGATATAGCTGACCCTATTAATCCTAGAGATGCTTTCTTTGCAGGTAGAACAAATGCGACAAAATTAAGAGTAAAAAATAAAAAAATGAGTAATATTGATGTATGTAGTTTATATCCAACTGTGAATTATTATGATTATTATCCTGTTGGGCATCCTGAAAAAATATGTAATCCAAAAGTATATGATAAAAATTGGTTTGGATTAATTAAATGTAAAATTTTACCTCCAAGAAATCTTTATCATCCTGTACTTCCAGTTAAAATTAAAATGAAAAAAAGTGAAAAGTTATTATTTTCTTTGTGTTATAAATGTGCTGTAGATCAAAATAAAATATGTAATAATTCTCCAAATGAAAGACAATTTATAGGAACATGGACAACAGATGAAGTTAATAAAGCTTTACAAAAAGGATACATAATAACAAAAATGTATGAAGTATGGAATTTTAAAGAAAAAACAACAGATTTATTTAAAGAGTATATTAAGAATTTTATGAAAATAAAATTAGAAAGTTCAAAACATAATTATAGTTCTAATGAAGAATATGTAAAAGAAGTTTTTGATAAAATGGGTATTTTGTTGGATATAAATCAAATAAGTGATAATCCTGGTAGAAGAGCTGTAGCAAAATTATGTCTAGTTAGCTTATGGGGAAAATTTGGACAGCGGCAAAAAATGAAAAAAACTGAGTTTGTTACAGACCCACAACAAGAATTATTCTATAAAATATTATTAGATGATAGATTAGAAAATATAAATATAAAATTATTAAATGACAATATGATACAAATGTGTTATAATTATAAAAATCATTACGTTGAAAATTATCATAATACAAATATTATAATAGCTTTATTTACAACATCTAGTGCAAGATTAAGAATAAATAAAATGTTAGATAAATTAGGTAGAGCTGTAGTTTATTTTGATACCGATTCTATTTTCTATATAGATAATGGTGTTAATAAAATTAAAACAGGAACAATATTGGGTGAATGGACTGATGAATTAGGTGAAAATGTACATATAACAGATTGGGCATCTACAGGCCCTAAAAGTTATTATTATAAAACAAATGATAATAAATTTAAAACGGTTATAAAGGGTTTTACTTTAAATTATCAAAATTTATTAAAACTTAATGGGGAAGCAATGATAAAATTAATTGAAGAAAATAAAAATATTAATATAGAATTAGAATACAAACAAATAACACGTGATACAATTACTAAAACTTTAGTTAATAAAAATGTTACCAAAAAAAATTCTCATTTAATTATGATAAAAGAATAATATTACCAGATTATGATACAATACCATATGGTTACAATACTCCGAGTACCTGACCTAATTTATAATGAATCAAAAGAAAAAACGTTCTTTAATTTTACATTGATATTTAACACGTCCGTAAATTACGGACGTGTTAAATATAGAAAAAATGCATAATTTTATAATAAAGATAACAGTAATTCTTCTTCATAAACTGTACCTTCTATATCATACATTTTATAATAAACAACATTTGATTTAATAACTTTTTCAACCGTAAATATTTCTTTAGACCAATTTGTTTTTAATTTATTTCGATACACATCATTTATTGAAGATAATCTAACTCTATCATTTATTTCAAATTTAGGCTTAGAATTACTAATATCATAATTATAAACAGTAGAAAGTAGATCATTCTCGTTTTTCTTATTTACATCAGCAGGTTTCATTTTTATCGTTCTATGATATGTATTATTATATTCATTAATAATCTTTGGTAATTCAGTAATCCATACATTGTTGAAATAAAGTACTTTCTTTAATTTATCACCCAGCGTTCAATTATAGATGCCTTTTTATCGGTACCTGTACTATACATTGTAATGTTATATTTGTTTAGTAATTGTTTTAAATCTTTATTATAAAATTCCTTACCCTTATCTACATGTAATTTCTTAGGTACATTATGTTTAAATATTTGTGAAAATGCCTCGGATACTTCCAATCCACTTTTCGTTTTCAAAGCTACAGAATAAACTTTTTTAGAAAATGTATCAATAACATTAAGAATATATTTAAAACCATTATTAGCTTTATATAAGGCTTTATGGTTATCATTAACTTTAACTTTATCCTCATTATGTTTATTTCTTAAATTATACTTAGGATCACTATTTGTAGATTTCGGCCTATAAAAACAGTACAAATCAGCCTGCCAAGTTTTATTTATACTTCTTTGTATAAAATGTCTTGTTTCAAAATGTTTTCTAGCCGGTTTAAATAATTCATAAGCTTCTATAAGTTCTGGTGGTTTTGGTATATTATCATAGGAACAAATTTAAAAAAAAAAAAATTCATATAAAACTTATTAAGAAATCAATAAATGATTAAAATTCAAAATTTTTTTTTTTTATAAAATTTTAAACATTTCTTTAAACCAGAATATTCACATTATCCCATTTATCTAATCAATTTTTGCAAGGATTATGGGCTATGGCCCAATTAATATAAATTATAATAATACATAGGCATTGATTAAGTCTACATTAATCAATGACATAGGTATTATATAGGTATTATAAGTGGTAAAATTCTGTATGGATAAACGTGGTTGTGGTTATGAATTGTGATTGAAGTTGCCAACACGGCAACACTGGAACACGTTCGTTGTTATGTTGAAATTACTATACACGTGAGTATTCGGCGGGTAAACGTTGAAAAATATTAACCTAACCGTATTATCATTATGACTTGTTATTTTGCTTCAAAGTGCGAGTAATCTTTTATTTTATTTTTATTTTAATTTGTTGTATTAGTCTTAAAAAATTGTGCAAAGCTTTTGTTTGGATTTTAAATTAAGGTAAGTATTTAATAGTTTATTAATTTCTTATACTTTATAGTACTTAACTACTACCAAGCTCCTTTTTTGACTTTAGATGGAAAAAAAAGTTTTCAATATTTTTAACTTTAGAAAGAATAAGAGTGAAAATACAGCCAATAATGTCAACGATTTTTCTGAACTCACTAGTACATGTGGTATCAGTAGTACAAGTGGTACTTTAGATGAATTATCTGATTGTAATAATACATTTACATTAGATCTTGGGGATTTAAATTCTGGACCGATGAGACCAATATTAAAGGTTTACAATTATTAATTTATTCCTACAACATTGGTTTTTATTATTTAGTATTCATGAAATTAAGTTCAAATTAATATTAGTGTGCACAATTTAGTTATAGACAATTGTTTCTTAGCTTAGCTTAGTTTGATATTGTATATAATACAAAAAAAAAATTACTATGCTATTATTGCATGCGCCTTAGGCTTACCCCAAAACTCAATTTGGATTGCAAAAACGTGCCTTTTCAAGTGCTTATTACCAAAACCATGATTGGCTTGAATATAGCTTGGAGAAAGATGCGATATTCTGCTATGCTTGTCGCCTATTCTCTAATTCATCAGGACATAATGAAGAAACATTTACAACTCTTGGGTTTAAAAACTGGAAAAAAGCAAGTCGTTTGTTTTTACCAATCTATAAAATGAATTGTTAAAACATGTTTTGTCTACTGAATTTCATATATCTAATCAGAATATTTTAATTTGTTACTAGTTGAGTGGGAGTAAAGATTCAAAGTCCAAACATTCTAAGCTTGAATTACATAATATAAGTGAACACCACTTGAATGCTATGTCAAAATGGTCAGCATTTAAATCGACAAAAAAAAACTGGCTCGATTCAAAATGAGCTTGATTCTGCACATAAACAAAACGTTTTGGAGAATAGAAGTTATATTATTCAATTAATTGAAATTGCATTATATTTAGGTAAACAAGGTTTATCTTTTAGGGGGCATACAGGAAGATACATAACATACAAGAAGATGAACTAAGTTTAAATAGAGGTAATTTCTAAGACCTTACTACCTTACTGTTGTACTAGATTAATTTTTGTGATGTTGTAATTGTTCATCTATTATTCTATAATATCTTTTGTTTCCCATTTACTATTTTAATAGTTGGGAGAGACTACAAAATGAAGAATTAGGTATGTAAACATATTCTTTTACCGTTAAATAATTTGGTTATATTTATCCTTTTTTAATTTATTAGATAGTAAATACTTAACTACTCAAGTTAATTTCAAAGAAGATTAAAAATCAAGTCTGACAATCTGCATTTCAGAAAAAACTTAATCCCAATAATATAGTTAACTAAAAATATGTTAAATGAAAATAGTACATGCTAATGTTTTTTTTTTTTTTTTTTTTTTTTTAATTTTAACAAATATACAATTAAGTTAATTTAGCTAACAACATCAATCAATCATTGATACTTAAATGGGTGGTAAAATGTATGTTTCTAGAAAATTAAAAAAAGAATTATAAATTACTCACCTTCATTATTATACATGGTATTATTAAATATTTTATTTAAATAACTACTTTGTTATAATATTAGGTAGGTATGCCTTAATCCTAATATTTATGTATCATAAAAATATCTGTATTTAAAATTATATTGTTTGTGTGTTTTGCAACTGAATAGTTCTTCTGTTTGATTGATGTTGTTAGCTATTTATTAGCACCTACAAAGTTAAAATATTATTAGTCCCACTTTTAAATTTTACTGTATTTTTTTAAGTTAGAGGTTAAGTTGAGTTTGTTTCATTTTTTTTGAATACATGCTATGATCTTAACTCATATTTTGCATTACTGCATAACAAATATTTTGATCTAACTGTATCATTTAATTTGGAATAGATTTATCATAGTCCTGGGCTTTTAAATATTATGGTAACATTTTTGAAGGGTGTTTATCTAGCAGGTGCTCTATCAAATTTTATAAATGTGCATATCTTTCATAGTAGTAATTGTAAAGTCGATCAAGTGCGCTTCTACTCCTTTACAATTTACCTATTAATTATTATAGTTATTTCTTATTACATACTTCTCAATTTAAGCCAAAAACTATAATGTATTATTACTATTATGATAATGTAGTTCCGCCTGATTTTGATAATAATAGAAATATAATTTTCATATAGTAGCACTAATCAATGGCGGTAAACTGTGTATTTTTGAATGAATTCTTATTTGATTTGATAATCCTAAATAAAAAAATATCTTAATAATTAATGGTGAAATATATTTTAAACCTAATAGGTATGTACAATGTACATATTATTATAGGTATCTAAATCTTGTAGTAGATCACTTCTAGTAAATTGGTAGATCACCTGCTATACAAATGCTTTTTATAGTGGTTCATAATAATAGAAATATAAAATGGGGTGATTTCAGTCACGACATATTGAAATAGCTAAGTTGTTTTTTACATATTACCTTATTGTTTGTAACAATATTCATAATTACTGTAAGGTAAATCATAAAAACAAGACCTACAAGTTATAGTAAAATTTTAAATTAATATTGTATTGAAAAAATATAGTCAATAAAACATTGTTAAATTGTGAAAATAACATTTTAAATATGGCTCTAATCACCCCATTTTATATAGAATTAATTACATTTTTAAACTTTTGTCAGTTGTATCATAGGGGTGTGCTGAATATGCTTTAATTTAAATAAATAATAAGGTATATAAAACAATTTCTTAGGTAGCTAGTTGTATGTGCCTCTGAAGAGATTTTACAAATGGGTAATGAGCCTAGTCAATTTATCATAAACCATCTGAAATTAATGTCAGCATACACCTGTATTATATTGTGTGATTAAAAAAAATTGTATCATTTACTATGTAATTTTTTATTAGTCACTTACTATGTTTTAAAGTTATTAAGTATATTTGTACATATTGAAATATCGTTTAAACCACAAAATCAATTTAAAAATTATTGTCTTCAAATTTTGTACTGGACAGTATTATAAGACATCAAACTCAATAGTTTATTTTTATAAGATATTGGTGTTTATTTGTTTAGTATTTATATGTGTGTATACTGTATTGTAAACTTTAAAACTGTACCATACCTATTGATTTTTATTATACTATATTTTTTTGTAATTGATTTTTATTTGACAATTTAAAAAATAGGTATACATTTTCAAATACAACCAATATTTTGGTTATTATAACCAATTTAACTGAAAAAATAGGTAACAGTAAGTTAATTAAGGATCAAGGTATACCTTCAGTTAGAAAAAAAAAATTTCGGTTTTCAAACGAATAGCCCCACCTAGAGATCCTTTCTTACATAAGCTTACAAGATGGTGCTCCGCCGCTCCGGCCCATAACTGCCGGCAGGTTCAGGACTATTTAAACAACATTTACGGAGGTAATTATCATTATCATCATATTTTGTTTGATTGCTACTTATAAAAATTTTAATATTATACATATAATATTTAAAGTTACACAATTTTCTTCTCATTTATATTCATATAGGTATTTATTTACATTAACCCAATATGTTATGGATACAATTTATACAAATAAGTATTACATTTAATTTAAATTGTATTTTTAAGATAACTGGTTGGTTACCCGGAGTCCAGAAAATTCAATGGCCAGCACGTAGTCCAGACATGACACCTTTGGATTTTTTTTTTGGGGGGGGGGGATTTGTGAAGAATGCTGTTTATGATATAATGCCATCCAGTAAAAATGAGCTGATAAAAAAAATTACAGAAGTCTGTTCAAATATAACAGCTGATATTATGAAAAAATGTACAACTGAAAATGTCTTTTGTATGTCACTAAATGGTCAACATTTTGAACACATATTAAAAATAAATAAACCAAGAATTTTATGTAGTTGGATCTTCATACATTTTTTCTTTCAAATCCTTATTAATTAATGGTCTTGGACTCTTGGGATTCCGATGTGATAGTTAATCAAATAATATCACTACATTAATTTAATATTAGTTTTTGTACAATAAAAAAAAAAGTTATAAGATTTTCAAATAGTGTAACTGTAAAACACGATTTTAGATAGGTAATTAATTAATTACATTCTTAAATAGTGCTGTAAAATTATAATACCTATTATAGTATTATTCTATTTCATTTTCTACTATTATCATACAACATTCATATCATTCACAATATCACAGAACAATATTATTTAAGATAATTGATAGGACTATCTTAAATCGTGACCATGAACATTAGAGGAAGGACGCCGAACACAGCAGAACGAAGCGTAAAAACATGGTCCGGAATTATCGCATTCCGCCAGAATGCGCGTCGGACCGTAATGATGTCGTTTTTACATATTGTATAGCATAGGACATTTAATGGTTTTTTATTATTATAATGTAAATGGTGAAATTTATGAATAATTACTATAGAACATTTTTTTAAAACCAAATTGCCCTCGATCGAATATAAGTGTTTCCAATAATATACGACTTTTATAAAAAGAGATAACAACTATATCTTTTTTTATAAAAGTCGTATATTATTGGAAACACATATATTCGATCGAGGGCAATTTGGTTTTAAAAAAATGTTCTATAGTAATTATTCATAAGTTAAACCATTTAGAATATAATATTACAAAACCAATAAATTCCCTATGCTGTACATGTAAAAACGACATCATTACGGTCCGACGCGCATTCTGGCGGAATGCGATAATTCCGGACCACTTTTATATACACAGTTCGGCGTCCTTCCTCTAATGTTCATGATCGTGACCATGAAGATTAGAGATAAGGAGACCAAACTCCGTATACAAAATATGGCCCGACAAAAGTCGCACGGTTATTCTGCCACCAGGAGCGCGTCGTTCGATAGCAGTGTTACGTTTTACCACTTATTATACGTACTTTTCTATAAATGTTTAATGTACGTTCTTTTTCATTTTTTTGAATTCGAATGAAATATAAATTATGATTTATTATTTATTACCTGGTCAGGTTAAAGTATACCTAAATATATAATCAAAGTTCAAAGTTTCAATAATTACATATCACATTTTTTTACCTGGTAATGTTATTTGCTGATGTCATAATCCCTTTACATGTTATTAAAGAATGTATATATTTCAATAACTTATGTATATCATTCATACTCAATAAAATTGTATTAATAATGTTGCAATCAAAAAAAATGTCAGTACCATTGAAAAAAATCTGTCAACATTTAATGAATAAAGAATTGGAATAATATGAATTAATATACAGTGTGTCCTAAAAGTCCCGTATCACCCTTAATATCTCCATGTAAAATCACTATATTTAAACGCGGTTTTTTTTACAGTACTAAGTATGAAAATTCTGATTGAATGGCATAAAATTCATTTATTTTTTTCTTTAAATTCAAAAATTTTCAAACAAATTTTTTATGACTTTAAGAATTTAAAATTTTTAAGATAGCCATTTTGTTGAGCATATTTTTTAAAACAGTTCAAAAAAAAAATACTAAAATTAAATAAAAATTGACCAAGTTAGAGCAAGTTATGTTTTTGAATAATTGTAGTAAAAAAATAAATTAGGAATGTAAAAGTATGGTCGTGTGCTGAAATTACATATTTCATTATTGAAATGTGAAACAATAATTTATTTTTTTACTACAATTATTCAAAAACATAACTTGCTCTAACTTGGTCAATTTTTATTTAATTTTAGTATTTTTTTTTTGAACTGTTTTAAAAAATATGCTCAACAAAATGGCTATCTTAAAAATTTTAAATTCTTAAATGCGTAAAAAATTTTTTTGAAAATTTTTGAGTTCAAAGAAAAAAATAAATGAATTTTATTCCATTCAATCAGAATTTTCATACTTAGTACTGTAAAAAAAAACCGCGTTTAAATATAGTGATTTTACATAGAGATTGTAACGTCACAAGTTTTTCGTGCACAATTATTATTATTATTGTTATTGTAAATCATTGTTAGTACTATTATTAAAACAACCTTATTATTATCATAACTGTTGCGCGCTCGATGAACAGTCTAATCTGTAAAGTTATGTCTCCACATACTACTTCCCCCCCCCCCCCCTCTCTACACCAAGGTTCAGTTGTGAACACAACGGCTGCCGGTCGAATGACACATTGACACCATCGTTCGAGGAAGACGTGCCATTAGCGGTACCGACAGTGCAACCTGTATCCATATTATAATTGTCAATACCCCTGATCATGCAATACTGACCTGTCCCACTCTCACAAGACGACGTCTACAACCAGCGGCTGGACACCACCGACCATCGTCTCGTTGCATTTTTCCCGAGACCTCTGAGCCGACATAACGTTTTTGCCAATCACGTCTCTCGACTCAACCACTTCCGACTCTCGTCAACTTCGCATCAATCTTATTATTCTCGAGGCCGTACCAAACAAATGATGGGCTAAGATCCTCTACAGGCCTACTGGTGGCCAGATATCCGGTCAACTGCCAACTCTCGTTTGTGACAGCAAGACGGTTGATGCCAACCGCGTGTGTGTTGGTGGCTACTCAGCCCAGCCGTCCCGCTGTCAAAAGGACCACATCTCAAGACCTGTAACGTATCAATGTAACATTTTCCCCCCCATGTCCTTCTCATTTATAACTGCCATGTGTCAAAACAATTATTATTAAAAAATGTATGTCAAAATTATTCAACCATTGTAGTATTGTGTGCGGGAGCCACATCTTATTATATTATTGTCATGTTTATTGTTTAATACAAATTAGTATTATTCTTGTTACCTTAAATTTCAGTTTTTCATTATTTAAATGGCGTTTCATTACCCCATATGGTGTTAAAACCTACGAGTTCCGCCACAACAATCCTAGGCTTGTCGCGCGGCGCGGCTCGTAGGTCACAACTTGAATGTTCCCCTCAAGTTGTGGGTGGTTTGCGTAGCCCTAAAAAAGCTCCGTACTCTCACAAGATATTAAGGGTGATACGGGACTTTTGGGACATACTGTATAATACGTTTATAGGTTTGAACAGTTTTTTATTTTACTTTTGACCAAATAATTGCTTACTTTTACTATTAAATCATTTGAAATTATTATTCTTTTTTCCGATCCACTATTCCATATTGCAAGCACTACTTCATCATCAGTTAATCCAAACATCCATTTATTATCTGGTTTTTCTAATAGATTCAGATTTTCTTTTAAATACTGAAATGAAAATTTTTCGTGGGAATTTTCAACTGTATTTAAATATGCCTGACTTAGTTTAAATCTCTTTTTATCACTATTTATAGACCTTTCGAGAGGAGGTTTTCTCTTAATTGTATGCTCTGTTAAATAAAATGGTAAGTTCGGAAATATAGATGGAACTGCCCCAGCTTTTAATGTGGGTCTAATTCTTTTAATTTTATTGACTGTTCCATCATTTAAGATAGTCTCATCATAAATTAGAATATCATTCTCTTTGAAATGCACTTCACACACATAACACTTTTCTGTGAGCATTTTGTCTTTCCTAGGTATAGCTCTATGCCATCTTGCTAAAAGCTCTGTGTTCTAAATATTATTTGTAACAAATAATTAAATAAAAAATGATTATTCATAAATAAGGTTAAGATAGTATGTTTTCTTACTTTGGGTGCTTTAAACAAACTTTTATTTTTTAATCCAATTTTTTTTTTGATGTTCGACATCTAAAGCATAACCAGTATTACACCCTGGCACGAAACAACAATTAACCATTTTTAATGTGTAAGAAATAAAACACAAAATACAAATTACTATTGTTTTATGTTTTAGGAATAATAAATCAAGTTTAATTCGAAAAACGTACATAATCCCTATTATACTACATGCTATAATTGTAAAACGTAGCACTGCTATCGAACGTCGCGCTCCTGGTGGCAGAATAACCGTGCGACTTTTGTCAGGCTACTTTATAAAAGAGCGACTATAGGAGTTTGGTCTCCTTATCTCTAATCTTCATGATCGTGACATTAAAATTGTGCATTATCACCTAAATATGGGTATTTATTATTTACTTTCTGCATAATATTATAATCATATTACCAGTCACGGACTTATCAAGGTATACCTTAGTCATTAGTGGTAATAAGATATAATTATGTGGTGATACCATTTTAATTTTTTAATAATTATCTGTGAAATTGTAGTTAATATAAATTTGTCATAATATATTTCCAGTTTTTATTTATCATTCTTTGGTAATTCGGTATATCCAATTAGTCGATAAGTTAAGAAATGATTAGGGTTCAAAGTACAATGGTAATCTATTATTAATTGTTATTTATGTTGTCACCTTGGGTTCAACGATATCAAATTTATGATTAGCTCCTGGTCTTTACAATTATTGAAAATATTTTGAAAACCACCAATATTTTGAGGAGCTGTATCTCGTAAACGAATCATCGATAAATAAAAACGTTAACGCGTAAATTCATACAAAAAATGGTTTTATTAATTCATGATATTTTTATTATATGTTATTATTTGAAAATCAAAAGTTGTTAGTGGTTACACTAATAAATATAAGGGTGAAAAAAATTAAAATATTATACGGTTTTAGAAAAACATAAACATAGAAGTTTAAAAAAAAAAAATTCAAAAAAAGTTAATACTTTTCGAGATAATTAGTGTACCCACTAAAATGAATCACCCTCTATATGGCTCATGCGTGTACATTTTTAGAAGTCTACGATTATATCAGTTAATTATTTTTTTCAAATTATTATATTTAAAAATTTATTTTTAAAACTTAATGTTTAATTTTCTCCTTATCGAATCGACCGATTTGTATGATTTTTTTTTCATTTAGTTCTAAATATAATATAGTTTAATTTATTATTGGTTTTGATTAGCTGTTCTAAATATATGGCCCAATATTTGTGCAATAATGAGCGTCCATTATATGTCCCACCGTGCAATAAGTGTTAGTCGCGTCAGTAAACGTTTCGACGCCGTAATCGGTATACCCGCGAGTTTTGTTCATATAATTGTGTTTTACGTGTTTGTAGTTTTAAAAGTACGCTTGTTATTTTTTAAATATGTCTCGATTGGTAAAAGAAAGTGAAATAAATGACATTATTTTTGAAGATTTACCATTTGATGACGACAGTATTTCATCAGTAGACAACTCGGACGATGATGAAACATATTTCCCAAAGCTTTCTTTTCCAACCTGTCCACAATTTGTTGTAGTTGAATCGTCTAATTCTTCAGATAACGAAGAAGAAGATGTTGAAATTTTTAACATTGAAGAAAATAGATCATATATTTTACCAAGTCCGAAAAAAACAAGATCGAGTCGTAGAATAAATCAAAATGAAATAACAAATAATAAATATGTTACCAATAACCACCGTACAGTTTTTCCTCCTATTCAACAAAATATTGAAATAACAGAAAATGAAAAACTTGCTGTGCCTTTACCGAATGAAAATGTTATACCTGAAAATAGTACATTTCAACAAACTGAGTTTATCGAACCTATTTGATCGAAGAAAAATAATATAATTATTGAAATTGTTCCATTTGACTGTTCACAAGGACCTACTAATATTTTAGATACAATAACTGAAATTACTCCGCTGTCCGTATTTAAACTTTTAATCACAGATGAAATAATTAACTATATTACATTTCAAACAAATTTATATGCTAATCAAATTTACTTAAAAATGGAAAACCTTACTCAGAAACAAATACTAATGAAATAAATGATTTTATTGGTTTGAATTTACTAATGGGTATAAAAAAACAATGCAGCTATCGGGATTACTGGTCTTCTGCTCCAGATTTACACGACGATTATGTAAGTAATATTATGCCAGTGAATAGGTTTAGTTGGTTGTTATCACATTTACATCTGAACGACAATTCCGTAATTCCAAAAAAAGGAGACGCCAACTACGATAAATTGTACAAGGTAAGGCCATTTCTCAATTTAATTTTAAAAAATAGTCTGGCAGTATACAATCCAAATAGAATAGTAGCTATAGATGAGTCAATGATAAAATTTAAAGGCCGTCATTCATCAAAACAATATATGCCTAAAAAACCCATAAAAAGAGGATATAAAGTATGGGCTTTGGCAGACAAGTACGGGTACCTTTGGAATTTTGATGTCTATACAGGAAAGTCTGGTGATACGGTAGAAAAAAATTTGGGAGCTCGTGTAGTGAAAAACTTATCTGCACCATTTAAAAATAAAAACTATTTTCTATACTTTGACAACTATTTCACTAGTTATCCGCTTATGTCGTACTTGAAATCAAATGGGATTTATGCTTGTGGAACAGTAAACATGACAAGAAAATATTTACCACAGCTAAAAGATGACAAGTCCTTAAAACAAGGAGAATATGATTGGAATACCGATCAATTTTCAATATCAATTATTAAATGGAAAGATAAACGATCAGTTATCTAATTTCCATAATCCAACTGACACTGATATTGTATCTAGGAGAGCTAAAGACGGAACTTTGACAATGATACCTTGCCCGAAAGTTTTAAAAGACTGTAATGAAAACATGAATTGCGTCGATAAATTAGATCAAAACAAAAAGTCCTGCCAAATTGACCGCAAAAGCCAAAAATGGTGGCACCGTATATTTTTTCATTTCATCGATATAGCAGTTCTAAATTCACATGTTATATATACACAATCCACCAAAACAACAATAACTATGAAAAACTTCCGACGTGATATTTCAAGGGAGCTACTAAACAAAACAATTGTTTGTAAACGTCAATCTAAGAGCACTAAAAAATCACCATCAGAAATTAAAAAACACAAGCCATTTGTACTTGACTCTCTTCGTTTGGAAAAATCAGCTCATCAACCGAAAATATCGACAAGAAGAAGATGTGCAAAATGCAGCACAAGAGAAAAAGAAGTTAGAACTGAGTGGATGTGTGCAGTATGTAAAGTTCCACTTTGCATTACAAAAAACCGAAACTGTTTTGCTGATCATCATAAGTGTAACTGGTAAATAATTAGAATAAGATAATATTATAACTAAAATAGTTTAGAACAAAACTAAAAATTTTTTTTTTCAGAAAATCGAACCTCGAGACGCATGTATTTATGCCTGTATATAGCGATACCATACACGGTACCTACTCTCGTTTAAGCGACGCCGCTCCTCGCCGGGACTCGTTTTTGAAAAAGTAGGGCCGCGCGCCAGTTATAAATTTAGCGGGGAACGCGAATAAGATGCAAACGGGGAGGGCGATACGACCGAAAGGGGATAAAACTCGAATTTTTTAAAAAATACTGCAAAAAACACGCGCGACGGTGGCTTTCGTATCGATATCTGGGAATTAAGTAGGACAGCTCGCCGTCTATAAATTTACCGAGGAACGCGAATAAGGTCCAAACGGGCCCTCCCGAGGCACCCGAGGGGGGTAAACCTCAAAAATGTTGAAAAAAAATTGTGAAAAATGGTCAAAACCGTGAAGAGTGATAAGGAGGAAAAATAACGCAGTGACGGCTCCCCAAAAAAACGCCTCGACGCATGTATTTTGCCTGTATATTGCGATACCTACACGGTACCTACTCTCGTTTCCGCAAATTATCTATAGACCTGGCGGCGGTTTCGAAACCACGACCCTCGGGTCACCTATCCTAACGCCTAACCAACCTAGCCACCTACTCTGATGAAATTCCGAGGCAAATGTATGACTCTTAAGCCGCGTCGCCGTGCTCGCGGCGATAAAATAAAATTCTTATCACTTTCCTTATCAATAAAAACAATATTTAAGAAAATCCCAATAAATCCTATCAAAAACTCAAAACCCCGAGTTTCCCCTTGGCGAGGTGGGTGTTGGTACTCTAACGGACAAAAATTAGTTTAATTTTAAGTCTAAATTTAAACATCAAAAAAGCAAAATCCAAAAGGGGGGAGGAGGTGCCCCCGTTCCCTAAAGCGGAAAACGGTAGTCTTCATAATAAGAATTGGTTTCCCCTTGGTCCGAGGTCTTTAACTTGAATTCCGGCCGAGTTATACTCAACTCAAAATGTGGGGGGGGTGGGGGCTTTGGTTCCCTAATGTTGAAAATTCATCTGGGGCCTAAAAAATTGAGATGCCCATTGGTCCGGGGTCTCTAAGTCGAATACCGGCTAAGTTATGCTTCGTCAAAAATAATTACTCGTTTAATGGTCCCCCCCACTCCGCCCGACGGACATTTTTTCGTGCGTGCAGCCGGCTCCATCGATTTATAAGACGTTATCACGTCAAAAACGGTTTTTTGAATTTTGCGTTTTACATTATACTACTATTACATACGGAAATATCACAATTTTTATAATATATAGAAATACGGAATAACTCGGGTAATATAATAATTTATATAATAATAATATTCGAAAATATTCGTCGATAAGGAAAAGGGAGATAAGCGAGCGGAATTTATAGCGAACGCGCGGGAAGTATTGTGATTGGTCGTCATGGAAGAAACGCGGAGTGCCGTCAGCGCTCCCCGCGGATCTTATACGCGTTATTAGCGTTTTATTATATAAGACTAGATTCCGGTGTTTGTCATCCCGCCTACGGCGGAAAGACTGTGTGGGCGGTGGTGCATCTTTGTCGGCGATGCTGGGTTTTTTGATCCAGCCTGCGGCGGGAATGGGGGGTCGTCGGTTATTGTGTTTTGTCATGTTGGCAGCACTGGTTAAGCGGTAATTTTTGAACTCGGAAGAGTGTCTAGTCGTAAGTCACGCGATTCAAGTCGATCGTACGACACAGCCAGCCAGGTAGGCAATCCGACTACGTCGGATCGCAGACCATGCACCGGGCGGGTATGTCCGGTTCTGGTGTGTGTGTGTTGAAATCGGAAATTCGGATTCTGGGTTTGAGTGTCTAGCTATCAGTCATCTCGGGTAAAAGTCGATTCCCGAGTGTCGGATGCAGTGGGGGACACTGGGGGTGTAAGTCGCTCGTATGCAAGTAGCTAGTCAGGTAGGCAATCCGACTACGTCGGATCGCAGACCATGCACCGGGCGTGTATGTCCGGTTCTCGTATGTGTGTTGAAATCGGAAATTTGGATTCTGAGTTTGAGTATCTAGCTATCAGTCATCTCGGGTGAAAGTCGATTCCCGAGTGTCAGATGCAGTGGGGGTGTAAGTCGCTCGTATGGAAGTAGCTAGTCAGGTAGGCAATCCGACCACGTCGGATCGCAGACCATGCACCAGGCGTGTGTGTCCGGTTCTCGTATGTGTGTTGTAATCGGAAATTCGGATTCTGAGTTTGAATGTCTAGCTATCAGTCATCTCGGATGAAAGTCGATTCCCGAACGGACAATCCGCCTACAGCGAAAAGTGCTCGAAACGGCCGTTCAAATATGAAAAAGTATACAGGAGGTAATAAAATTGTATTTGTTGATAATTATAGAGAACAGTTATCAGGTGTTTTATGTTAGGCTTCACTGTAATCAATGTAATCATTGTTATGTTTTCGCGGTTATAACAAATAAGTCGACAAAATCTAATTTTCTGATTGGATATTTTCTAAAATATACCTACCTTGTATATTTATTTAATTATGAGAATTAAGTCAAATTAACAAATAGATAATTATATTGGTGAATAACAAATTTTATTGAAATGTAATACTATCCTATTAAACGTAGGTATCTATAAATGAATACACTATACATACTCTCGTTTCCGACACACTACTCCACCCCGGGACTCGAATTTTCGAAAAAAACGGCAAATGAAGCAGTCATATTACAGTCGTACTATTTTTTAATATAGTATTTATAATCTGTAGCAGTATTTAACCAAATCGGAATCACGTAAAAACTGTAATATATCAAGTAGGTACTACACGTAGGTTAGTTATATTATAATGTATTATTAAAAGAAACATGTAGGTGCGTCGGTAAATGTTAATTATAATTATTTTTTTGCCCAATAAATATCGTCAAACGAATAATAATAATATAAATAATATAATGCAAATTTAAAAAAAAAATTAACACTTTCGTTAAAAATGATAAATGTGACGAAAAAAAAAACGCAAAAAAAAGAAATTTGATTTAACACGGCCCCGCCGGCGTTCGAAACCACGACCGTCGATCACCCGTTTTAACGCCTAACCTACCGAGATGAAATTAGGAGTCAAATCTATGGCTCTTAAGGGCGTTTGAGCGGACCACCGTGTCGTTCTTCGGACGTTCAAAACGCGAGATTTGCGAAAAAAATCGAACCTCGAGGCGCATGTATATACATGCGTATATATGCCTGTATATAGCGATACCTACACGGTACCTACTCTCGTTTCCGACACACTACTCCACCCCGGGACTCGTCTGTGGCTATAAATATAGCAGGGAACGCGAATAAGTAGTCGACGGGGAGGGTGATATGACCGAAAGGGGCTAAAACTATAACTTTCAAAAAAAACGGCAAAAAGAGCAGTCATATAGTCGTACTATTTAACTGCCAGAGTTTAATCAGTTCTATTAGATCTATTAGTTTATTAATACCGTATTAAACAGTATTTAACCTAAAAACTGTAATATATCAAGTAGGTACTACATGTAGGTTAGTTATATTATATTGTATTTATATAAGAAACATATAGGTGCGTTGGTCACGGTAAAATCAAGTATTATTATTATTATTTATAAAATAGTACAGTATCATTATACAATTTAGTTACAATTTAAAATATCTACTTTAATATATTATATTAATATTTTTTTGCCAAAAAAAAAAAAAATGTGACGAAAAAAAAAACTCGAAAAAAAAACATTCAAATTATCACGGATGGCTCAAATTATCGAAAACCCCAGAGGCCGGGTTCGAACCCACGACCCTCGAGTCACTTATCGTAACGCCTAACCAACCTAGCCACCTACTCAGATGAAATTCCGAGCCAAATGTATGACTCTTAAGCCGCGTCGCCGTGCTCGCGGCGATAAAATAAAATTCTTATCACTTTCCTTATCAATAAAAACAATATTTAAGAAAATCCCAATAAATCCTATCAAAAACTCAAAACCCCGAGTTTCCCCTTGGCGAGGTGGGTGTTAGTACTCTCCCGGACCAAAATCCATCAAAAAAGCAAAATCCAAAAAGGGGGGGAGGAGGTGCCCCCGTTCCCTAAAGCGGAAAACGGTAGTATTCATAAAAAGAATGGGTTCCCCCTTGGTCCGAGGTCTTTAACTTGAATTCCGGCCGAGTTATACTCAACTCAAAATGTGGGGGGGGTGGGGGCTTTGGTTCCCTAATGTTGAAAATTCATCTGGGGCCTAAAAAATTGAGATGCCCATTGGTACGGGGTCTCTAAGTCGAATACCGGCTAAGTTATACTTGGTCAAAAATAATTACTCGTTTAATGGGTCCCCCCACTCCGCCCGACGGTCGCGGGGTAATCGATTTATAAGACGTTATTATCGTTATTATTAATAATAATAATGTTCGAAAATATTCGTCGATAAGGAAAAGGGAGATAGGCGAGCGGAATTTATAGCGAACGCGCGGGAAGTATTGTGATTGGTCGTCATGGAAGAAACGCGGAGTGCCGTGAGCGCTCCCCGCGGATCTTATACGCGTTATTAGCGTTTTATTATATAAGACTAGCCCTTGGTCTAGCCGGGGGAGACCCCCGGACCCCCAGTGTTTGTTTGTAAGTGAGTACCGATTTCGGAGACAATGTCGTTGGAATTATAAAAATCACAAGGGTTGTAAGTCAAAAGTTTAGGATTAGTGATATGGATTGGAGATAAGGCTTGGCGCATTGGCAGGAATATTTAAAAGTTTGATCGTCTAGCAATCCGTCACAAACATTGTAAATAGATACGATCTCCAGGATCTCTAGTCAGCTGCTTTTGGTTGTTGAAATTATTAAAAATTGTAGTATCGATATGTGTATTTGATTGTCTAGCTATCAGTCATCAAATCACATAGGTAGGTAATCCGACTGCGGCGGATCGCGGACAATATGTGAAGCGTATATTACCAGGTAGGTATGCAATCTACCT